ACCAAATGTCTTTTGTCCAGCATGGCTTCTAATCGGCCGCTGCCTGGAGATCTGATTGGCTGTGTAGATCTTTAGAAACATTTCTTTGACAGCTGCTGCCACCACGGCGTCGTGAACTTAACTGTGTAACTGAAGGCAAGCTGCGGCAGCCATTTTGTGGCCAGCTCCGCCTCCCGAAGCAGCCATTTTGTGGCTGTGCCCTGTCGCGGAATTAGGGCCTGGATTGATGTCTGCAGTAATTAGCCTCTCTAGTTGAATCTTTGGTTCTGTTTCCCAGGAGGCTTCAGGACTCTGCTAAGGGCCGTGGCCTTCGATTACAGATAACCCTGGACGTGCCTTTTCACCTCACATGACTTTTGCCTTCTGGGAATGTTTATAGAGTCTCTGTAACTAGCCTTCTTGACTCTCCGAGTCACCCTGACGTTCCTTGACTTTCCTGACCCCAGAGATAGAAAGAGCTGACTTTTGTTGTATACAGTCAGAGATATATGTCAAATGCTCGTCACAGACATGACTGATGGTTACATTAGCCCCTGTGGTTGGAAAAGGGTACTATGGGTGCATTCACACACACGAAACAATGAACTTTCAGTCCACTTTTCACTGCACTTTCCAACTGGATTTTGCTCCATGAACTGGCAAAATCCAGTTGGAAAGTGGATCATCTAGTGTGTGTGATCGCCGTCTATATGTCTGGGTTTAGTTTTGTTCCTTGTTGTTCTGGCCAGCCACCCTCTGTTACGGGTCTGTGCTTTCTGAGCATCCAACTGTTAAACATTATTTCGTTATAATTTTTCTGGTGGCAGTGATTTGGGATCCGTCACTGCCAGTACCTCAGCACAGCATGCCAGTGTTGGTGTTATGTACTGGGATGGAATCATCACTGATTGAATCACCCTAGAGAGTGGATGAGCTTGGAGCACAAGAGCAATAGCCGGCCAGGACTCTGGAATAAACCGATCAAGTGGTTGTTGTTGTTGTTCAGTCGCACAGTCGAGTCCGACTCTTCGCGACCCCATGGACCATCTCCCGCCAGGCCCTCCTGTCTTCCGCCGTCCTCCGAAGTTGGCTCAATTTCATGTTCGTTGCATCGCTGACACTGTCTAACCATCTCATCCTTTGCCGTCCCCGTCTTCTTTGACCTTCAATCTTTCCCAGCATCAGGGTCTTTTCCAGTGAGTGCTCCCTTCTCATTTGGTGGCCAAAGTATTTGAGCTTCAGTTTCATTATCTGGCCTTCCAGGGAACAGTCAGGGTTGATTTCTTTGAGGATTGACTGATTTGTTCTTCTTGCAGTCCAAGGGACTCTCAAGAGTCAAGTGGTAATGTTTTGTAAATAGTCTTATCACGGGGAGTGGATGTGTGTGGGGTGGGGTGTTTTGCATGCCTATAAGCCCTGCTGGAGTTGTCTTAGAGTTAAGCTGAAATCACTAATAAACCATGAGCTGATCACTATATGCGTCTCGAACGCAGTACATTTCAATTAGTATAAGCCAGAACAACCCAGGAAAGAAAACTTGGAAACAGGATCCAAAGCACAGAGTAGTGATTTTAATAATTATTTCCGTTTCTGCCTAGCTGTGTATACTTTATGGGGTAAAGTGGCCATACATTAGGACATCCGTGCTGCGTTCCTGAAGCTTGCAGCTTCAAGTATGACTTATCTTTTACCTGATTAACCATCTGCTCAGCTCTGCAAGGAGGTCTGATCTGTCAGGCTGAGACAGGCAAAACAGAACTGAACGTTGTTTTTTGTCCAGCTGTCGCTTTAGTCGGCAACAAACTGAAGTGTCTTGTCCAAGTCGTTGAAAACAGGGCTGGTAAGTGGCGTGAAGTCACGGCTGACCTATGGTGACTCTGTCGGGTTTCCGAGGCAAGAGGTGTTCTGAGGTAGCTTGCTATGGCCTGCCTCAGCGTCATGACCCTGATATTCCTTGGACGTTTCCCATCCAAGTTCTCACCAAGGCTGGCCCTGTTAGATTCTGAGATATGATGAAGACAGGCTAGCCTGGGGGATGCGGGTCGGTAGTTCAGCAGTTCGAGACCCAAGTGCCGCATGATGGAGTGAGCTCCCATCTCTAGTTCCACCTTGCGAGAATTGGGGAGGGGCCGTGGCTCACTGGCAAAGCATCTGCTTGGTATGCAGAAGGTCCCAGGTTCAGTTCCTGTTATCTCCTGTTAAAAACGACCAGGCAGGAGGTGATGGGAAAGACCTCCACCTGAGACCCTGGAGAGCTGTAAGGAGGGGCTGTGGCTCAGTGGAGGAGCCTCTGCTTGGCATGCGAAAGGTCCCAGGTTCAGTTCCTGTTATCTCCTGTTAAAAACGACCAGGCAGGAGGTGATGGGAAAGACCTCCACCTGAGACCCTGGAGAGCTGTAAGGAGGGGCTGTGGCTCAGTGGAGGAGCCTCTGCTTGGCATGCGAAAGGTCCCAGGTTCAGTTCCTGTTATCTCCTGTTAAAAACGACCAGGCAGGAGGTGATGGGAAAGACCTCCACCTGAGACCCTGGAGAGCTGTAAGGAGGGGCTGTGGCTCAGTGGAGGAGCCTCTGCTTGGCATGCGAAAGGTCCCAGGTTCAGTTCCTGTTATCTCCTGTTAAAAACGACCAGGCAGGAGGTGATGGGAAAGACCTCCACCTGAGACCCTGGAGAGCTGTAAGGAGGGGCTGTGGCTCAGTGGAGGAGCCTCTGCTTGGCATGCGAAAGGTCCCAGGTTCAGTTCCTGTTATCTCCTGTTAAAAACGACCAGGCAGGAGGTGATGGGAAAGACCTCCACCTGAGACCCTGGAGAGCTGTAAGGAGGGGCTGTGGCTCAGTGGAGGAGCCTCTGCTTGGCATGCGAAAGGTCCCAGGTTCAATTTCTGGCATCTCCAATTGAAAGGACCAGGTAGCAGCTGACGTGAAAATCCTCTGTGTGAGACCCTGGAGAGCGGCTGCCAGTCTGAGTAGACAATACTGACCTTGATGGACCAAGGAGGTCTGATTCAGTAGAAGGCAGCTTCAGGTGTTGACGTGTTTGGTGCCAAAGCATCTAACTAGGAGCATCGGGAAATTCATGTCCGCCTTTCCTGGGTATCCCTGTGCCCGCCACCCACACGGCAAATTCACTGAAATGGGGCTGGGGGTGGGGTTATCAAGCCATGGCATTCTCAAGGGCTGATAGAAGCATGCAGGGAACATTTATTTATTTATGTTCTTCATTTATCCCCCACCTTTCCAATGGGGACTGGCATTAAAGTTGTGAGCGAGCTATTTGGCTGCTGCATCAGTTAGTTTGCTCTGGAGCCCCTCCGTCCTGAGCTGAGACAGAAATGTGTGAGCCAGAGGCTAAAAAACTGTGACCTACCTCACACTAACTCAGCTTAGAGGGAACCCTGCTGCAGGTCACAGTGATCAGTTCCCCCCTTGGAGAAAATGGTTGCTTTGGAGGGTGGACTCTCTGGCATTATATTATTATTATTATTTATTGAATTTCTGAATCACCAAAATCTGAGTACACAGGTCTCTGGGCGATTTACAACAGGTTAAAAACATATATATATATATATATATATATAAAAATACAGATTAAAATCAACAAATCGATTCTTTCCAATTTGATAATCTCCAGATGGGGTCCATAATTTAATCTGAAACCTACTCTGGATTGTTCTTCTGTCTCAAGGGCATGTTGAGGAGGCCGAAGCGGGCAGGAAAGAAGAAGAAGAAGAAGAAGAGGAAGAGGAAGAGGAAGAGATTGGATTTATACCCTCCGGCCCTTCACTACCCAAAGGAGTCTCAGAGCGTCTTACAAACTCCTTTCCCTTCCCCTCCCCACAACAGACACCCCCTGTGAGGTAGGTGGGGCTGGGAAAGTTCTTTTGAGAACTGCCCTTGAGAAGAACAGCTCTGACAGAACTCTGGCTTGCCCAAGGTCATCCAGCCAGGTGCAAGTGGAGGAGTGGGGAATCAAACCCGGTTCTCCCAGATTAGAGTCCGTGCACTTAACCACGACACCAAACTGGCTCTCATAGGCCCTGCGGAATGGCATTAAGTCCCGCAGGGCCCTGATGGACGTTGGTGGAGCGTTCCGCCAGGTTGGAAGCAGGGCCGAGAAAGCCCTGGTTCTGGTCGAGGAAAGCCGTATGTCTTTGGGGGCAGGGATCACCAACAGATTGCTCTCTGCAGAGCGTCAACACTGTCCCGGGGACACACCAAAATAAACTGTTCCAGAGAGATGCAGGTCCGAGACTGCTCAAGACCAGCACCACTGGTTTCCCCTGTCCTCCCTGGGGTCCACCCTCAAATCACCAGGAGTTTCCCAACCTGGAGCTGGCAGCTTAACTCCCTGCCAGTGGCCGGGGGGGGGCACACACACACTTGGCGACCAAGTAGTCCGGATGACCAACAAGACCAGCTGCTGTTTCAGAGTGGTGGTCCACATAAGAATTTTCCACCCGGTTTAGGGTATCTTAGTCCTTCAAGTTCTGGGGTTTTTTCCGTGTTGCTGCTTCCCAAAGCAGGCTTCATATCCGTGTGCTCTTTTCCCTTCCCCGTTCTTCCAGTTCCACCATTAGCATGATATTTCAGACTGGCTGCCAGTGTTGTTTCTGGGGGGGACGGGACTCCCACCTGCACAGTAGATTCGGGTGAATGGCTTTCTTCCGATTTGGACAGGAACGGCTCATCAAAACCTCACCTTTAGGAACCCGTAGCATGAGCAAAGCTCCCTGCAACTGCTTGATAGGCCGTTTGGTCCTTAGATGCTCCAGACAGGTGTAAAGGCACCTACTGGTTCTGTCGATCTGAGAGCAAATTCGTTTGTCCTTTCATATCGTATTTCACAAGAGCAAACAGCTGAAAGGCGCCCATTTTTGTGCTCAGGGGAAAAAACAACAAAAAGCTCTGGTTGGATTGATAGACAAAAAAGGCAAAGAGATAACAGGAATCTTCAGGCTGCTGAGCCGTTACAGACACAAAAGAGGTAGACTGCGGCGCTGCGAGCGGAAGGCACATCAGGGGCTTACGCCGTGGAGGTGTTTTCCTCCTCTTTGCTGATGGCCGGTTTGTAGATGATGCCTTTGTCTTCCTTGGTCCTTCTGCTTCTGGAACAGAACAACGGCGTTAGCAAAGGCCGAAACGGCAAGCTGTTTGAAAGCGCGATCGTTTTCCAAACTTGGGCTACCAAATGTGTGGATTTCCCCTCTGCTGTTAAGGCCTAAGTGAGCGAAGAGCTTTAATTGCTTCATAATTACCACAAGGTAAGGGCGGTGCACATCTCCTTTCCATTGGAAAGTTCCCCCATTTTACCGTGTCTGGCCAAGGAGTCCCTTGTAGAATGGTTTGCTCTCCAAGGCTAGTTGGAGTGGCCGGTACCAGGCTAGACGGGCCACCTTTCCTGACTCATTGTACGCCAGCTCCTTACACATGAAGCTGCCTTATCCTGAATCCTACCCTTGGTCCATCAAGGTCAGTATTGCCTACTCTGACTGGCAGCCACTCTCCAGGGTCTCAGGCGGAGGTCTTTCCCATCACCTCCTGCCTGGTCCTTTTAACTGGAGCTGCCGGGGATTGAACCTGGGACCTTCCGCATGCCATGCAGAGGCTCTGCCACTGAGCCACGGCCCCTCCCTACGAAATTGCCTTATCCTGAATCCTACCCTTGGTCCATCAAGATCAGTATGGTCTACTCTGACTGGCAATCGCTCTCCAGGGTCCCAGGTGCAGGTTTTTCACCCTACCTACTACCTGTTCCTTTTAACTGGTTGGGGATTGAACCTGGTACCTTCTGCATGCCAAGCAGAGGCTCTGCCACAGAGCCACAGCCCCTCCCAGCAGATATATGAGGCCCCTACAGAGCTGCCTTTGTTATTAATTTTTTTTGTCAGTTGTAGCTGACTTTATGGAGGAGGAAGAGGAGCAGGACCTTCACTACCCAAAGGAGTCTCAGAGTGGCTTTCAATCCCCTTCTCCTCCCCACAACAGAGACCCTGTGAGGCAGTGGGGCTGAGAGAGCTCTCTCTCGAGGACTGCCCTTAAGAGAACAGCTCTGAGAGAACTTGTGACTGACCCAAGGTCACCCAGCTGGCTGCATGTGGAGGAGTGGGGAATTAAACCCGGTTTTCCAGATTAGAGCCTGGCGCTCTTAACCACTACACCAAACTGGCGACCCTGTAGGGTTTCAAGGCAAAAGACATTCAGAGGTGGTTTGCATCGCAAACCTGGACTTCCTTGGTGGTCTCCCATCCAAGTACTACTAACTGGCTCCGACTTAGCTTCCAAGTTCTGATAAGATCTGAAGATGTGAGCAGTGACTCACGAAAGGTCTTCCCCTGCCACAAATTCTGGCTCTTTTCTATGGCTAAAGGTAAAGGTTTCCCTTGCTCAAAAGCCAGTCGAATCCGACTCTAGGGGGTGGTGCTCATCTCCATTTCCAAGCTGAAGAGCCAGCGCTGTCCGAAGACTTATCCGTAGTCATGTGGCTGGCATGACTAAACACCAAGGCACACGGAATGCTGCTACCTTCCCACTGAAGCAGTGCCTATTTATCTACTTGCAATTTCTTGATTTCGAACTGCTAGGCTGGCAGGAGCTGGGGCCAGAGACGGGCGTCATGTATCACTCGGGTCTCGAACTGCCGAACTACCGACCTTCCAGCCTGCAGCTCAGCGTCTTAACCTCTATGGCTACAGACAGACTAAATTGGCAGCCCGTTTCGGCTATCCAGATGAGCTCTGTCTGTCGTGCATCTATATTTCTTTTGCCACATTGAATTAGTTTTGTTCCAAATCACCACTATTCTCGCACAATACTCCCACAATACTGTAGACCAGGAAATATAACCGAGCACTGGAAAACTGAGCCAACAATCCTGACGACAGTAGCCCAACCTCTTACCTCGTTGTCCTCCGAATCAGCCAAAAGGTCAAGACCAGGACCACAACAGCTACAAGACTACTGGCCAAGACGATGGATTCCACAAAACCTGGAGGGGCGGGGAGAGAAAGGCAAGTTAGCACTCGTCGTCGGGGGCCATCAAGAGTGCGCATTGCTAACCTGTCACCATGCTCAAAGTGCTTTGGCTGCAGTGGGGGATGCAGGGCTCCTCGGAAGGAGGACCAAAACGGACAGATGGGCGAAGGACCCTTTCTGAAGAAAGATTTGTGTGTGTGTCACTAACACAAGTGCTAGCCCTGTGATGGAGAGCTTTGGAGGGGAAGCGATTCGACTGCTAAACATTACAATTATTTTGTTTCTGTCTTCAGTGTTCTCCACACAGCTCCCTTGTTGTGTTTCTCTGGGGTTGCATTGGTGAATGACCACCCCCATTAGTGTGTGTGGTTTGTAATTTTGGGGGTGTTTCTTTGCATTCTCTTGGGCCAGCCCTGGTTGACTTGATCAAATCTCTGTTCCCTCTCTCCAGAAAAGGGCTGATCCAAGTTCGGTGCATTATTCTGAGGCCTGTGGCCGAGGACAGACTCATTCAGCATTTTGATTGATTGGTTTCGAGTTAGTTGGCATTTGTTCAAATCTACGGTTAACGTGCAGAGAAGAGGTTGCGTTGCAAAGGCATGCAGGGGAGGAGGCTGAGAGATGAAGCGGAGGGAGGTCGTAATTATGGTGTCAATCACAAGATTGGCCATGGCGGTGAGGTCTTGCTTAAAACATACCTATGCTCAGTCCACTGCATACTGGGTCTTGGCAGAAGCGAGGGAAGGAAAAGGAAAATGTAAAATCACTATGATTTCCACGGAAATCAATGTTGGGAACACAAGGATCATCTTTCCCACTGGGTTTTTTTCACTCTTAGCATCTTTAGGGGATACACCTGATTAACCATGGACCTCCTGTGTCTCACAAACATGGGAAAGGATGGGCTTCACATTTCTCTGCTGTTAGTTTGGGTTTCTTTGGACTGTTGGTTCCAGACCTCACCGGATTCCGGTGCTCCAAGTTCCTTCGTGTCCAGGGCTGGCCCAAGACATTTTCAGTGCGACACGAAGTACACTTTCCTGGCAATAGGCCCCATGGAACAGAACTGAGTAGGATACCGAGCAATGTTCCCTCTAAGCTGAGGAATCTTGTGAGCAAAAATTCTACTTGGTGAGTGACTGGCATCAAAGTTGTGAGCGAGCGAGCGATTTGGCTACTGTATAAATTAGTTTACTCTGGAGCCATCCTTCCTGAGCTAAGACCAAAATGCGTGAGCTGGAAGTTAAAAAAACTGTGAGCTAGCTCACAGTTTTTTTTAACTTCCAGCTCATGCATTTTGGTCTCAGCTCAGGAAGGATGCCTCTAGAGCAGTGTTCCCTCTAAGCTGAGTTTGTGTGAGCTAGCTCACAGTTTTTTAGCTTCCAGATCACAGATTTTTGTCTTAGCTCAGGAAGGATGGCTCCAGAGTAAACTAATTTATACAGTAGCCAAATCGCTCGCTCGCTCACAACTTTAATGCCAGTAGCTCACAAAGTAGAATTTTTGCTCACAAGATTCCTCAGCTTAGAGGGAACATTGCACCAGAGCAAACTAATTGATGCAGCAGCCAAATGGCTCGCTCACAACTTTTAATGCCAGTGGCTCTCAAAGTAGGATTTTTGCTCACAAGACTCCACAGCTTAGAGGGAGCACTGATACCGAGTCGACTTGCTTAGAATTCCTCTCTCTTACACCTAAGTAGATACTTCTGTGTCGAGAGGCGGTCAGCCTCACAATGCCAGATGCTGGGGAACGATCCGTCACTGGTGGGATGCTAAACCCGGTTCTGAAGGTGGGTGGAATATTTTGCCACAGCCAGGAATGGACTGGAAGGCGGGGGGGGAAACGGCCTTGGATAAAAAGGGCTGTGGCCCAGTCCTCCCCGGAAGGGGTTGCCAACCCCAGGTTGGGGAATTCCTGGAGATTTGGATCCTAAGGAGGGAAGGGACCGCAACAGAGTATAATTCTTTAGAGTCCACCCTCCAAAGCGGCCATTTTCTCCAGGGGAAACTGATCTCTGCAGTCTGGAGATGAGTTGTAATTCTGGGAGATCTCCAGGGCCCGCCTGGAAGTTGGCAGCCTTGCTCCTGCAGTGCCTTCTGGCCACCATGGCTTGGCTGGAAGCTACTGCCACCATTCCCTTGATGCATGCAGCTTGGCTGGACTGGGTGCTGCCCTTGTCGCCGCTGGGCTAGCCGGTTCCAAGTCAGGAGACAAGGCCGTTGGCCCAGTGGGAAATGCCCCAGTAGCCGTAGTAGCCAGCCCTCCCCAGCCACATCTCTCCTTTCTCTTTGTGGCTTCTCCCACAACTGCTAATAATTGACCTGGGTGATGTATGCCCACTCTTTCTCTCTCCCCTCCCAGTGCGTCCTTTCGTGAAACGGCAACGGGTTATTTGAGGAGGACCACAGGAGATAAATGCGATGGGTGCCCTCCCACGCCGAGTTAAAGAACGTCTAGCTTTTTTTTGCTAATTAGAAGCTGAATCGTCCGGGCCTGACAACCGATCCCTAACAAGTCTCCCGGTTAACAACGAAGCAGGCAGCATGGCAGAAAGCGGTGCAGGAGTTGCAGCTGCTTTCTTACGTGCGTGCATGGTGGAGAGAGGTGGCTGCAAGCTCGAAAGGACTCCAGGATCGACGAGCGTCTGCCCAGAAACATAAGTGGCTTGGGCTTACAATTTAGTTACGCTCGCACAAAACGTTTTTGCACAGTTAAAGGCTCGGTCTTGACCATGGTTATCCCGGTGGTCGTGTACAGCTCAGCCGTTCCGTGATGGTAATTGTGTGGGGGATGGCGATCGTGAACACACACACACCCCTTCTCCAGTCTGCTTCTAAATATTGCTCGCTCAGGGGGTGGGGGACAGACTGTGGTTTTTGTGTCCTGGTTGTTGGCTTCCTTGGGGTGTCCATCAGGCTATTGGCCTGGATCCTACCCATGTTCCAACTGATGCAAGAGGGAGGAAAGGCCCCATTTGACCCCTGGAAAGGTCACGAGGATCAGGGGGTCTGTGTAGATATATTGATGTTCAGATGTATTGATGTACACCAGGGGTGGCCGAACAGCGGCTCAAGAGCCACACGTGGCTCTTTCGCACATATTTTGCAGCTCCCGGCAGGGCGGCTGGGGAAGTGAAGGGGAGGCGTGCCTCCATGATTGGTCTTCCCTTCCCGAGCCAGCATTCCCCTCCCTGGGTAGTCCCGAGGTGGAAGGGAGCAGACAAAGAGAGCAACTTTAACTGTAAATGGGTTCTCAAAGCCCCCCCCCTACAAATATCACTGGATAGATAAATATAATTGTCAATATCTGTCTTTAACCCCATTTGTTTTTATTTTTGGCAGTCTCGTTTAATGTTAATAACAAGCAAATCTGCGTATTTTCCAACAAAAACACGTAATATGTGTTCATGACCTGCAGCTCTCTAACATCTGACGTTTATTCTACGGCTGCGTTCACACACAGTAAATAATCCACTTTCAATCCACTTCCCAACGGGATTTTGCCAGTTCACACAGTAAAAATCCAGTTGGAAAGTAGATTGAAAGTAGATTGTCTTCTGTGTGTGTGAACGTGGCTTATGTGGCTCTTACGTTAAGCGAGTTTGTCCACCCCTGATGTACACCACCCTGAGCCCTGTTTTGACAGGGGAGGGCAGTTTAGAAATCTCATTTAATACATTAATAAGTAATAATAATAGGCAAAGGCAGTTTAAGGGGAGGGCTGCAATGGGAAGAGGTACTGGGTGAAATGACCCCCCGCCTCCCTTTCGCCTCAGAAAACCTGGTTGGATCCCACCCACTGATAGTGACAGGGTTTGGAACTACAGAGAACCTGTTGGCCTGGTCCAGCAAAATTGTTCTTCTATATTCTGTCCACAGTGTGTTTTCTGGCATGGTCCAGGTCTACGCAGCTGGTTGTCAGCAAGAATACAGTTAAACTTATGGAAGGGACATTTGCCAAACACAGGATGTCCCTAGGAGGAGATTCCTGTGCAGATGTGAGATGTGTGAGACTTACTTCTGTGCGTGCGTTGTATCAGTTTGTTGTGCAGTGAGTTATACAAGTGATACAGCATCGCGCATGCACGGGAGTTGGGAATTGCCAGTATGATTTATCCTTGAAAAACAGAATGTGCAATTAACTCTTGAACTGTATGTTCACTTGAACTTTCTTCTAGGGCTTTTCCACATTTTCATTTTATTTGCTTGTAAATTCCGGGTGTGTGTGTGTTGGTTTTCCCCCCATGTATTTCATACATTTTGCTCCATCTAGTGGTCGATTCAATATCACACAGGTTTATTTCCAGCATTAAAACCTGCCATTTAAATCTGCAGAGAGATATGCTGGAAATAAACTGGTGTAATATCGAATCGACCAGTAGAGGGAAAAAATACATGCGGAAAAGGGGGGAAAACCCTGAAGAAACCGGAACTTACCGGAGAGCAAAATGAGAATGCAGAAAAGCCGCTAGTGATAAATGTGTACATGTCCTTTCCCGACCTCTTTCACTACAGCTAACAACTAACAGAGAAAACGGAGTGAGTGCATGGTAAAGACCAATAGAGTAGTCTCCTTTTCACCCCGGCACAACTTTATAAACATTAGCTGAAGATAAACCCCCACGGATAACGGCTTCAGGCCCAAATGCTAGAAAAGATAAATGTAAGGTTCCATTTTCTTTTTCTGTCATCGGGATAAAGGAACATATTGGGCTGAGTGCGTAGCCCAAGCGAGACCCCATGCTGACACATGCAACCTTCACAGTGCCGCATCAAGAACATTGATGCTCATGCAGCGACCCCCAGGGCTAGAGAAATGGAAGTCTGCACAGTATGTTCAAATGCTGCGTGCCCAGTCTTTGGCAAACATCGTCCAGGTTTTCCTTTGTTAAGAGTGTGTGTCTGGGCGGCAGATTTGGACATGACTGCTCATCTGACTTGCATTTCTACCTGACCGGCAGAGGAGTTAGGATCCGGAGACTCCGCATTTCCGTTCTCTTCCATCTGCTAGGCTGAATGCTAATTGCTGTGGGCGTCTTCTTCTTGTTCCCCCAAGGTTAAAAGCGGAAGAGAAATCCAATAGTAGCAGAATGAACGTGGTTCAGCATGTTGGCCTGAGAGATACCTGCAGTCTTCAGACCGGGTTTGGCCACATTGGATTTCCAGAGGTTTCTCCAGTTTGTAAGCGGAGCAAAGCGGCTATGTTCTTGGACTCAAATAAGTTTACTAAGTGCTCATCGGAAAGGTTCCAAGTCTTAGAGTTGATCCAGCGTCCCCCGCTAGATTTTGTGCATCTACGAAGTTAAGTATTTAAAGGTCTGGAATGTCCCATGGGTGTTAATGGACTGCTAGAAGGGGCGGTCCCAAGAATATGGATGCCTGCTCTTTGGGGGAGCGACATCAATAACTCGAAAGACTATACCCTGAAATTCTAGTTGGTCTCTAAGTTGCCACTGGACTTGTTTTACTGAAGACCCACACCTTTCCCCTCTGAAACAATCAATGACTGATGTAAAACTAGATTCAGGTGGGGTCGCTGTGTAAGTTTGAAGCAATAGAACAAAGTTGGAGTCCGGGGGCACCTTTAAGACCAACAAAGCTATTAGAAGTGTGCGTGGCACACAAAAGCTTATACCCAAAATTGAACTTGTTGGTCTTAAAGGTGCCACTGAACTCAAAACTTTGTTCTAATGTGAAACTAGTTTTCCTTCCTCTTCCTTCGAAGTAGCATCCCATGGTTGATAAATGTTTGCCCTTGTCCTATTTTCTGTTCTTTTCCCTTCCCCCCTGAAGGAACCCAACAAATTGATCTTAGGAGAGATAAAGATCTCTATGTTCATTACGACCGGAACATATGTGGAAGATCTTGTTTGGGCTGAGACCATTACTCATCCTTTCTAGCATGCCTCGCCCATGATTTTTTAAACATAAGGTTATTTCTGTCAGTCGCTCCCTTGACAGAGAAAGGTGGCCCACACCTAGAAGTGTTCTTCAGGGGACCTGGGAATCGTGGCGCCCCAGAGAGAGCTCTGCAGTTCATTGGTCTGTGCTGCAGAGGCAGTGTTCCCTCTGAGCTGAGTGAATGTGAGCCAGCTCAAAGTTTTTTAGCCTCCGGCTCACACATTTCTGTCTTCGCTCAGGAAGGAGGGGGCTCCAGAGCAAACTAACTGATGCAGCAGCCAAAGTCGCTCGCTCGCAGCCTTAATGCCAGCAGCTCACAGGGTAGAATTTCTGCTCACAAGGCTCCACAGCTGAGAGGGAGCATTGGCTGTAAGTATGTGCACAAAATGGTGCGTTCCAATACCGTGTGACCCTAACAAATGTGACCAACAAATGACTTGTGGTGCAACTGGGTATCTTTTTCTTTTTCTGGTGAGTACTGTGTGTGTGTGCCTGGAAGTCTTTGTTGACTTCTGGTGACCCTTAGTGGGGCTTGGACATTTCAGGGAGGTGGCTTGCCATTGCCTGCCTCTGGCCTCCTGGCCCTGGTATTCCCTGGAGGTCTCCCATCCAAGTACTTGCCAGGGTCGGCCCTGCGTAGCTTCCGAGATCTGACGATATTGGGCTTGCCCAGGCTATCCAGGTGCAGCTGGGACAGTCAGGTGTGCAAAGGAAACAGAGAATACCTGAGCATGCCTCTGTCGTTGAAGACGAAGCAGCTCTTCACCTGTCCTTTTCTCTGTTGTTTACCGGGTATGTGTTCGGCAGAACTGGGGCCCCTGGCCTCTCTTGTCAGTGGCAGCAGGTATGTGGGATGGATGCGTGCCCCTTGGGCAGCAGTTAATTGGCATCATCTACTAGAGCCAGTGTAGCATAGTGGATAAGAGTGTCGGACCAGTCTCTCAAAGGCCTGGGTTCGAATCCTGACTCCGCCATGGAAGCTTGCTGCGTGACCTTGGGCCATTCTCACTCTCTCAGCCTAACCCTACCTCACAGGGTTGTTGTGAGGATAAAACGGGGGCGAGGGGGAGGACGTCAGCTGCCTTGAGTTCCCATTGGACAGAAAGGTGGGGTATAACTTAATTAAATAAGAAGAAGAATGCTAACGTTTACATATCGGTTTTCTGACCTTTTCTCTTCCTTCGAATTAAGTTTTCAGTAAGAGTTTACATCTTGGTTTTTATTATACATCAGTGCAAAAATACAAAATAGAATAACATTAGAATAACAACATTTTTGGTGCCCCCCCCCCCAACCTGCAACCATTATTCCCAAAACCAGGAGAGAATAAAGAATCTTTTTGACAGAAAAAAATTGCCATCTTCGATCATTTTTCAAGTAAGTTCGGCTTTCTGTTCACTGTTTAAGGTTCGGAAACCGAAAGAGGCAGGAAACTCAGGACTTTCCAAGGTGTTACCTAGCACCAAATCTAGGTTTGCCGTCGGAGTGTATGCTTCACAATTCTGTGCATGTTTCAGTGTGTGTGTGTATCTGGGTGGGGTTTCCTGATCAGCCGAGAATCGAGGTATACCAGACTTCTTTTGTACAGTTGTGTACGGATGCAAACTTATTTTGTCTGGTAAGCAAGGAGAGACGTAGCTTCCTTGGCATTAAAGGGGAATTCTATAAGCCGAAAGAATAAATATCACGCTTTCTGCCCAGCCCATTTAAAGTAACTACAAGTGCATTAGAAACCTAGTGAAGGCATACACTCCCCCTCCCCCGGGTTCTTCCACAGTTGCAAGACGATAGCCAAGCGTGCTTTTCTTCATCACCAGACTTTGTACTTTGAGACTCTAGTCCGGTTTGCACAGAAGCGACCGAATAAGAACAAAAACGTCCCGCTCTCCCGAATCAGAGCCGGGTGCCTGCTCAGTTACGCAGGTGCTCTTTCCTTGTTTTGTGTTTTTTTTGGACAAGCTTTGTCTTTGAGTTGATCTGTCCATCGTTCCGAGCCACGTCAGAAGTTCCCCGCGGGCTTGCGTGACCCACAGATCAGATGGCTAATTTTTGCACCCATTACAGTGGGTTTTTTTTTTTTTTACAATCCAGCATTATGAGTATTTTCTGGGGGGGGGTGTTACGTGTCAATCTCCTCGAGGGCTTCCTCGGACGCTTTCAATTTCCCCACAAAGAGTTTCCCTGCAATGCAAAGTTGTGATTCCGTTTAGGTGGGCAAGCCCCTAGCAACTTCAGCAGTTTGGCAAATAAAATCGTGCCTCCCCCTAGTCTAAACTCTGGGGGTGGAAACTGCTGGCATGTCCCAGCTAATTTATGAAGACCCTGTAGGCTTTTCAAGGCAAGAGACGGGGTTACTTAACAGGGGTCATTTCCTGCCGGAATGTACCGGAACAGCACTCCAGCAGTAAGAAGCCCAGGGGCGGGGGGGCCCTACCGCCTTTCCTGGCCCGCCTGCCTGCCTAGCCCTGCCTGGGGGATTTAAATGCCTTTAAAGGCATTCTAAACATGCCTGGGTTTCCTGCCCGATCTTCTCCAGGTGCCCTGCGGCTGCAGAGCACCTGGAGATGATCTGACAGGGAACCCAGGCATGTTTGCATACATTCCCTTTGTCAGGATGTGTGGCATATGCAAATGAGTTATGCCAATGAGACCCTGCACCTCTTTTTCTACAAAATGACCCCTGGCCGTTCCTATATTTTGAAAAGCAAAAAAAGAGGACACATTTCCCGACAGGCTACTTCAAACAAGGGCTCACGATGACCAATCTCGTTTTAAATACCTCTGCTATCGAAGCTGGGACCGTTGCTACGAACAAGGAATATTCCTCACCTTCCGACCCCAAAAAGAGGACATATTACAGACACCAAAAGAGGAGGGCATGTCCTCTAAAGGGAGGACATCTGGTAACCTTGCAAAAGACGGACAGAGGTGGTTTGCAACCCTGGATTTCCTTGGAGGTCTCCCACCCAAGTACCAACCAGGGCCGGCCCTGCTTAGCTTCCACAATGCTTCCACTTACTGCCCCGACTTCCAATTTTTAATTTTATTTGTGGCACTCCCTGGGGGTGTGCGGGGGTGTGTGTGTCTGTGTGCGGTGCCCCCGACATTTAAAGCCCCCCCCAAAAAAATTAAAAAAATCCTGGCTACGGGCCTGACCTGACACTACGTTTTAGGGCACACGTGCCCCGGCCCGACAAAGTGACATTTATGTCAGATCCAGCCCTCATAACAGGTGAGTTTGACACCCCTGCTCTAAATAATATAAATGCTAATACGCTTAAGGGATAAAAGAACCATCCCATTTCAGGATTTGATTTTCTGGTGCAAGGCAGTTGGCTGTCAAGATGCTTATCGTCCCTCTCCCCCCGCATCCAACCTTTGCTCAACCTGAAATTTGCTGAAACCTAAAAACCTGAAAACAGGCTACAATCACGAACTTTCGTTGTCATAAAGCATCCTGCAGTGATGCTGCGCAGACAGAGCAGATGGAAACCGCACCCCTTGAGAATATTCGGTGGCGATGCTAGTTCTAAAACAGAGGCAATTGGTGTCCGCTCTAGCAAATTCTCTGGAGTGGAGCAGGGTTGTAGCAAACTGCTTGTGAGGATTAACTCTCACGAAGGGAATTTAGTTGAGGACTTCCTCTTTGTTTAAACCCCAGTTTGATGTATAGAAACGGGTGAGGGGCAAAATTAGACACTGTGATCTCAAGTCTCCTACCGGACAAGATTGTTTTCACCCACAAAACTGGGACGTTCAAAGCTGATTGAAAGAACGGCTCGCAAAAGGTTGTCCCGTGTCGCTTACCTTGTTGGAAGGAGACGAAAACCATCCTTTCAAACTCCTGCACTTTCCGGAAGTTGTCCACCATTTCTATGGGGGCGGGATCATCCAGCTGTGTGCAATACAAAGCCGTCTGAAGGGCCATCAGCTGTGGGCGGAACATGCAAACACACAACACACAGTCAAGGAAAGGTGCACATTTGCCTTGGAGGCAAATTTGTTCCCTTGCCTAATTGTTGTGACGGTGGCTATGTTCCCTGACATCCAACGTAAGTTGAACTTGCTGGTAAGATGAAGACTTGATGCCGAATCATGGTTCTTTTTGACTGCTTTGGATAGTTTTGTGAAACCAGCAGTCAGCTTGAAGGTGGTCACTCAAACCCTGGTTTGTCTTGACAAGTGCTGGTTCACTATGGCCAAGCAACTGTAAGCCAAGGATAGTTTCAGAGGAAGCCCTGAACTGATAAAGCCCGGGCTAATCCGATCTCGTCAGATCTCAGAAGCTAAGCAGGGTCGGCCTTGGCTAGTATTTGGAAGGGCGACCTCCAAGGAATACCAGGGTCGTGATGGAGAGGCAGGCAATGGCAATGACAAGGAACTGTTCCAGTTGGCAGCAGAGGATAGGACCCGAAGCAATAGGTTTAAATTACATGCAGAAAGGTATTGGCTGGATATCAGGAAAAACCGATTCACAGTCAGAGTGGTTCCAAGGTGGAATCAGGTGCCTAGGGAGGTGGTGAGCTCCCTCTCACTGGCAGCTTTCAAGAAGGGGCTGGACGAATATTTGTCAGAGATGCTTTCGGGTGGTCCTGCATTGGGCAGGGGGCTGGACTAGATGGCCTCTATGGCCCCTTCCAACTGCAATTCTATAAACCACCTCTGAAACATCTCTTGCCTTAAAGAACAAACCTAGCTCACCACCTAGTGGTGCGTAACGCTAAAAGAGCTAAAACTTCTGGCTGCCAGACAATCTTAGGATTTCCTGCCTATTCTACACACAATGCCATATGATTAATTAATTAATTAGTTCGTTTCAGAGGGCAGCCATGTTGGTCGACGGTAGAACAGCTAGATTCAAGCCCAGGAACACCTTAGAAGCCAACAAGATTTTCGGACCTTCGAGGACCCAAGCTCCCTTCATCAGATACAAATAGGAATGCAGATCCCTGAGTCCTTATATCTCAGTCTGAAGTTGGGAAGGTATGTTGCAAAGAGGAGACTCAGGGAGTGCCTGTGGGCTTGGAAGCCAGATACAGCAGAGCCAGGATATTGGCATATATGCAACATGTGAGACAGACCTGTGGAACCTTCGTTCAGACAAAGAGTTAATACACCAACTTCAAACCGTGGTTTCAAATCCTAACTATGGTGAGGGATTTAGGGAAGTGACCTGTGTGCAGATGATCACACCAACCGTACTTTTTTTTTAAAAAAATTTTAATTCAGTTTTCCATTTTCCACAACAAATATAACAAATATCATAAAAGAAAAGTAGATTATAAGATAGCCATGGGGGGGGGGGAACATTCTGTTCAGTATAGACAATTAATTGACATGTTAATCAACATTTACCACAGGTGAAGAGTGTTTATTATATCTGGTATTCTTGAGAAACCAGGTAGGATAAAATAGGTAGCCATATACTAGTAAGTTCGCTATACCCATCATTAACCTTTGCTGGGTTCATTATGTCTGTTATTTTTTCCTTTATATAAAAGTTCCATAACTTCTTATACCATATGTTTAAGGTTAGTTTACTTTCTGATTTCCATTTTGATGCTATGGTTGTTCTTGCTGCAAATAACAATAAAGCTATCCTTTTTTCTGTACAATAGATAAGTCATTTTCAGTTCTAAGATTTAAGAGAATTGATTCTGGATTCTTATTTATGATAACACCAACCGTACTTTAACCAAACTGTGGTTCTGTGTAGGTAGAACATTGGGAGGGGGAGGAGGAGGAGGAGGAGGAGGAGGAAGAAGAAGAGATTAGATTTATACCTCTCCCTTCACTCGGAGTCTCAGAGCAGTTTACAGCCTCCTTTCCCTTCCCCTCCCCACAACAGACACCCTGTGAGGTAGGTGGGGCTGAGAGAGCTCTCTCTCAAGGACTACTCTTGAGAGAACAGCTCTGAGAGAACTTGTGACTGACTAAAGGTCACACCAGCAGCTGCATGTGGAGGAGTGGGGAATCAAACCCAGTTCTGCCAGATTAGAGTCCATGCTCTTAACCACAACACCAAACTGGCTGTCAGTACATACATATTTTATTAACAATTACAGGCAACGTCATGAACTGTAGAACTCATAGTAATACGCTTTCCATAGCCACTTGCCTGTTCCCGTGAAATATATACTGGGTTCCGGAAAACCGTCCAAAGAACACTTGGGTAGCAGGGGGGCGTGGTCAGGGATCCTTCATAACGGTAATACTCATCCAGTCTATCTGGAAGCAGTTCTTGGATGTTGAAACCGGAGATGTATGTTTCCTGATCTAGAAAAAGGTAGACTGTGTTTTAATAACGGCATCCTTTATGTCCTACCTTTCTGCTGCTTTCTTTTGGGTATAAAATATCCCCCACCACCACCACTACTGTCTGTTGACCTCTCTGCCATAATTCCTGTTGGAATGGTTAATCTCTGTTAGCCGAATCGCCAGTTAGAAACACGCATTAGCTGTACCATGCATCTAATGAAGTGTTGGATTTGCCTGTAAAGGCCAGCTGTGACTCAACAGCACATTCCATGACCACATGGAATGTGCTCACTTTGAGGGATGGACCAGAGGGTTCATCGAGTGGACAGATGCATTTCTGTTAAGGTAGGAGAAGCCATCAGGTAATCTTAGGCTGCGATCGTACGCACAATCAGACCCGACACAGGTGTGAATGTCGGGCGGATTTAAAGGGCGCGATCAGACAACAACATCTGGGAAGCGCCCTGCAGCCGTCGGCAACCCATTCTGCTCTGCTGCAGAAGCGGAGTTAAAAGACACCGGGGAAACTCCGGTAGTAAACAAGTTGTGACGAGCCACGGACGGACTTTCCCATGTCTGATCGCTCCAGCGTGCTCTCATGGCGTCGGAATGGTCTGATCAAGGCCAACCCGACTCCGTGCCATTGTTCCCACCCCCTTCACAGTATGTGCATCATCGCAAACTCCATAGGGAGCACTTGGTGTGGAGCAGTGTTTCCTCTAAACTGAGTTAGTGTGAGCTAGTTAGTGTGAGCCGGCTCACACATTTTTGTCTTAGCTCAGGAAGGAGGGCTCCAGAGCAAACTAATTTATGCAGTAGCCGAATCCCTCGCTCACAACTTTAATGCCAGGAGCTCACAAAGTGGAATTTTTGCTCACAAGACTCCACAGCTTAGAGGGAGCATTGGTGCGGAGGAGCGATTAATCGATCTTTCGTTTAAGTGCATGGGGGGGGGAAACGGCACAAAAAACCTCCGACTCACCCGCAGTTGTGTCTGATCACACACTGACGGACTGTGCCCACAGCCTCGAAGGGAGGTGTGATTGTGCAACTGCGGGTCAAATTCCTCCGGAGGAAATAGCCTCACTCCCCCCCCCCATTTTTTCTGGCATGTGTGACCGCAGCCTTAGTGAGTGCCATCAAGTTGCAGCGGACTTATGGCAACTCTGTTGTACCGGCTTGCAGGTTCTGAGTATCAGGTGCCAGGAGTCAGGCAAGGCAGGGCCATTCAGTCCAAGGTCAGGGGTCCAGAGGTCAGGCAAAGCAGAGACAGTGGCTTAGCATCTATCATAAGTGTTGTGTCCACACCTAACAGCTTCTCTTGGCCAGTATTTATGGCCCCATGCCTAAGGGGTCACGCTTGCAGCCAGCTGTTCAGAAGCAATCCTATAACTACTTGTCTTCATTATCAGTGAGCAACTGGTGCTGGGCTAGGAGGCGTGCACTATGCCGTCTTTTCTGTAGCTCTGTTCTCAGCCTCTGTCTGCAGTGCTCTAAGGGTGTGGGTGATACTGGTGGGCTGGGAACAGCCAACTGAGGTTCACCTGCTTAATCAAGGCTGGAGGGTGTCGGTGGCTCTGCACCAGCTGTTGGCTTGGAATCCTGACAAGTCTGCAGCTCATTTTCCTGCTTGTCGGTTTCTCCTGTTAACTCAAGGCTGGCTGCATGGGGCTCCTCTCCTCCTGAGGAGTCCTCTTTTCCTGAGGACTCCTTGCTATTGCTGAGCCCTGGCTGACCTACAACATCTGTAGGGTTTTCATTGCAAGAGATGTTCAGAGGTATTTTTCCACCGCCTGCCTCTGCATAGCCACCCTGGACTTCCTTGGTGGTCTACCATCTAGGGTTGACCCTGCTTAGCTTGGTTCACTGATTGTTCATAAACTGTAGGAGTATCTTCTGCCTGAGACTTGCATTCCAGCCTTTTTAAACCCAACATGAAACCAAATTAACCCCACGTCAATAAGGAACAAGTTTGCTATGCAGGGTTATCCTAAACAGGCTAATTCGAAGGTTTCTGACTTGGCTGCTTTGGGCTGTGGAATTGTCACGCAGTTGGCCCACCCCCCTTCCTACCTTTGTATTTCACATTCTGCAAATGATTGAAGAGCTTTTCATAGGAAGGGTTGAACCGGCCTACCTGTAACAAATGGACAGGGTAGATTGTTGAAGGGGAGTCACAACTGTATGCCATTTTAGGTGAACCATGAGTACTCAAGAGGTCACTTTGGAGCACAAGTAAAAATGGCAGAGCGGCAAGCACGGATCTGAGTGGAGGAGCACCTTCCAGTTTGGGAGAATCGGGTTTGATTCCCCACTCCTCCACTTGCACCTGCTGGATGACCTTGGGCAAGCCACAGTTCTGTCAGAGCTGTTCTCTCAGGAGCAGTCCCCGAAAGAGCTCTCCCAGCCCCGCCTACCTCACAGGGTGTCTGTTGTGGGGAGGGGAAGGAGTTTGTGAGCCGCTCTGAGCGAAGAGCGGGGTATGAATCCAATGTTCTCCTCCTCCTTCTCTGGCCCTGTTGACCGGGAGATGTGGGGACAGTAGGTCAGTAGATCTTGGGCACCTTCTAGTAGGTGGGGCTGCTTGTTAATTTGTGATGAGGTCCATGTGGGAGGGGCCGTGACTAAGTGGTAGAGCCTCTACTTGGCATGCAGGTTCAGTCCCCAGTATTTCAGCATCACCAGTTAAAGGGACCAGGCGGTAGGTGATAAGAAAGACCTCCGCCTGAGACCCTGGAGAGCGGCTGCCAGTCTGAGTAGGCAATACTGACCTGGACGCACGAAGAGTCTGATTCAGTGTATAGGGCAGTTTCATGTGTTCATGTATTATACAGGAGGGGCCGTGGCCCAGTGGCAGAGCCTCTGCTTGGCATGCAGAAGGTCCCGGGTTCAATCCCCAACATCTCCGATTGAAAAAGGACCAGGTAGCAGGTGATGGGAAAGGCCTCCACCTGAGACCCTGGAGAGCAGCTGCCAGTCTGAGTACAGTACTGACCTTGATGGACTGATTCATGAAATCACATGAAATCTCATGAAGCTGCCTTATACTGGATCAGACCATGAGTCCATCAAAGTCAGTAGTGTCTACTCAGACTGGCAGTGGCTCTCCAGGGTCACAGGTGGTGGTCTTTCCCATCACCCTATGGGTGTTCCTTTTAACTGGAGATGCCGGGGCAGAGGCCCCACCACTGAGCCACATCCCCTCTTTTAAGCATGAAGCAATTTCATGAGTTCATCTGCTCGGCATGCAGAAGGTCCCAAGTTCAGTCCCCGGCGTCTCCAGTTAAAAGTACTCAAGAGCAGGGGATGTGAAAGACCTTCACCTGAGACCCACTGCCTGTCTGAGTAGACAGTGCAGACTTTGATGGACCAGTGATCTGATTCAATATAAGGCAGCTTATTTTGGTTCTTCCTATATTTCTGTCCCAGCTATCTCCCCAGTGAGGGACCCAAACCAGGCTTCACCATTCTCCTCTTCCCAATTTTACCCTCACAACGACCCTGCGAGGTTGGTTAGGCTGAGACTGTGCAACCGGCCAAGATCATGAGCCAGCTTTCATAGCACGAGGGGGGATTCGAACCTGGGTAATCACTGCGCCACACTGGATTTTGTGTGGCTTTCCTGCCTTAGGCAGCAGACGTCTCATCTCAGCCCTTCTGCTTGGTTTACTCCTTTGTTTTCTGTGAAACAATCTACGCCACCCATTTAGTGGGCATAGCAACCTCTTGGCAAGGCGCAAACATCTCCATAATTGGGTCCCATATTTTTTCCCCGTCACCCCTTGACCCGTTCTCACTAGAATAATGGTGCCCTGCGGTTAGCAATCTCTTTTACCTCATTCCAAAATACCCAATAGTCATAATTATAGTTCACTCACCGGCTGGCAAAATAACACTGGGAGCACAATACAGACCAATGCTTTAGAGGACTGAAATGTGTATTTGTGTGTGTGTGAGAGAGAGGAGTCCCCTTTTCTGTTTTCAACGAATGCAGTACGAAGGGTGTATTTGCACTGGTTTGTCTATATACCCTGAGGCTGAAAAGCAGCTTTTGGAACATGGTCCTCCTCTCCGCCTCCATTTTCTCACAATTAATTAATTGCTGTGCGGCAGCGTGTGTAGTATAAATAAGACCAAAAGAGGCTGTGTATAAGTGCTTGAAGACACAGAAACAATTTGCAAAAAAAGGTGATTTGTAATTCAATGAAATATTTAAAAAAGTATTTCATAAAGTATACAACAAAGTTCTAAAAATTGAATGATGACACTGCTGGATATTATGTTAGTGGATATTATGTTAGTTTCGTGAGCAGGGGTCATTTCATAGAGAAAGAGGTGCAGGAGCTCATTAGCGTAACTCATTTGCATATCCCGCCCTCCCGGGCCGCTTTGGCGGGAGGGCGGGATAAAAATCAAATAAATAAATAAATAAATAAATATGCCACACCCCCTGGCATCACCGGAAGTGTGTCAGAAGGCAACACCCACCACTCAGGCTCCACTGGACTGTTTTGGATTGCTAGCTATTGGGGGGGGGACGCGCAAATCTGCCCTCACAGAGGAGGGAGAGCTTGTACCTGAAGGCGGGCCGGGGGGAGGGGGCTCTGCAACTTACCTGGCTGCTTCTTGCTCCTCGTGGCCCGAATGAGGGCTGCTGGGAGCAGGGGGCGGGGCTTGTTGGATGTGCCCGCCCCCTGGGTTCCTTACTGCCGGAGCTCCGCTCCTGTGTGCTCCCGCAGGAAATGACCCCTGTTCATGAGTCTTCTTCTAATAAGGACCGATATATAACTTCAGTCTGCAAAAACCATTTTTTCTACTTTTGGGCAAGTCTGTATGTATTAGTTGTTGTAGGTTTTCTGGGCTGTCACAGAGAGTCCTCCATCTTTCTGTGCTATACCTCTGAGGATGCCAGTCACAGCTGCTGGCGAAACGTCAGGCCCTACAATGCCAAGACCACACAATCCGGAAAATCCAAAACAGCTAATGAACTCCGGCCGTGAAAGCCTTCAACAGCGTAAGTCTGTATACAGTTAACAAATCATTATTTGTCACAACAGGAAATATAAATTCCTATGGAAATTTGCAAGGCATAACAAGAATCTATGGACGGGCCACTGCCACAGGAAGTGGTGGGTGCTACAAGCATGGACGACTTCAAAAGGGAATTAGATAAGCATCTGGAGCAGAGGTCCATCAGTGGCTATTAGCCACAAGGCAGAGATAGGGACTCTGGGGCAAGTGATGCTCTGTCTTCTTGGTGCTTGGGGGGGTCAACAGTGGGATGGCTTCTAATGTCCTGGCCCCGCTGGTGGACCTCCTGATGGCCCCTGGTATTTCTGGCCACTGTGTGACACAGAGTGTTGGACTGGACGGGCCACTGGCCTGATCCAGCATTGGCGTCTCTTATGTTCTTATGGCCACCACACTCGACAGAACGAGCTCGAAGAGTGGACTCCCACTTTCTAAAAACACTTGGTGGGCACGGGCACCAGGTCGGGGATGCCTGCCTAACAGTATGAAAATGCTGCTGTTGTTTTGAACATGCCTCATGAGGTCCGCCTAGTGGGAAGCCTCTAAGCTGAGTTAGTGTGAGGCTAGCTCACAGTTTTTTAGCCTCCGGCTCACACATTTTTGTCTCGGCTCGGGAAGGAGGGCTCCAGAGCAGACTAATTTATACAGCAGCCAAATCGCTCGCTCACAACTTTAATGCCAGCAGCTCACAAAGTAGAATTTTTGCTCACAAGACTCCACAGCTTAGAGGGAGCGTTGGTAGGAAATGTGTTCTGCAGCTATTGCTGGATCACGAAAAAAGAGACTCTCTTACCTGTATCAGGATTCCCAAGACCGCCAGTCCGTCGGACTTGTCCGCCGCTGAATCCATATCTAGATATAGGTCGGAGTTATAATGTACAATATGGAGCTACGGAGAGGAATTGAAACGACAAACAGGGTCAACGGGAATACATAGGAAGCTCACAGAACTTAGAAAAGGGCACGGGGCCTACTGAGTGTCCCGTTTGCATTGTTTCTTTAGAAAAACACAGTCAAGGGTTGGGTTTGTTTGTTTTTTGAATTACCGGCAGGGCTCTTTTTGTAGAAAAAGCCCAGCAGGAACTCATTAGCATAATAGGCCACACCCAACAGCAACACTCATTAGCATATTAGGCCACACCCCTGACAGCACCACTCATTAGCACATTAAGCCACAGGCCACACCCCCATGTTACCAGAAGTGTGGTCATCCAGCCACACCCACCTTTCCCTTCTTATTCTGTTTACCTTGTTTGCTGTCAAAACCCAGGGCTTTTTTTGTAGCAGGAACTCCTTTGCATGTTAGGCCACACACCCCTAAAGTAGCCAATCCTAATGGGTTTCTGCTCTTGGGCGTGGCCTATTATGCTAATGAGTTCCTGCTGGGCGTGGCCAACACGGGAGCCAGCCAGAACTCCGTCCCTGTGCGTTCCTGCCCAAAAATAGCCCTGCCGTTCTGCATACATTCTGAAAATCAGGACAAATGAATAGACCACAGTGATAGCTCAAAATGCTGCAGCAAGAAACAATGCAATCCAGGAAAATTTCCATGTCTGTGCAACTTCCACTCATTCAGAGAGGCTGAAGTTACAGGAAGGTAGATTTCAGCAGAGTGTTTTGAGAAATGGCCTATCGGTAAGAGCGGTTCAGGAGTTACAGCAGTGGAACCAGTTGCCCTCTGGGTGGGCTCTTCCTTGCTGGAGTTAGTCAAAGAAAGGTCACACAGGCTCAGTGGAAGACTGCTTGGCATGCAAAAGGCCCCAGGTTCAATCCCCGGCATCTCCAGTTAAAAGGATCAGTGTAGAAGGTGACATGAAAGACCTCTGACCCTGGAGAGCCACTGCCAGTCTGTGCAGACAAGATTGACCAGGATGGACCCAGGGTCTGATTCAATATAAGGCAGCGCTGTGTGTTCATGCAAACAGAAGGCCCCAGGTTCAATTCCCGGTATCTCCAGTTGAAAAGGACCAAGCAGTAGGTGATGGGAAAGACCTCCACCTGAGATCCTGGAAAGCAGCTGCCGGTCTGAGTAGACAACACTGACCTGGATGGACAAAGGGTCAGATTCAGCAGAAGGCAGCTTCATGTATCACAGGGGAAGGGCTGGGGCTCAGTGGCAGAGCCTCTGCTTGGCATGCAGAAGGTCCCAGGTTCAATCCCCGGCAGCATCTCCAGTTTAAAAAGGACCAGGCAGGAGGTGGTGGGAAAGACCTCTGCCTGAGACCCTGGAGAGCTGTAAAGAGGGGCCGTGGCTCAGTGGGAGAGCATCAGCTTGGCATGCAGAAGGTCCCAGGCTCAATCCCCGGCATCTCCAGTTAAAAATGGATCTGACAGTAGGTGATGTGAAAGACCTCTGCCTGAGACCCTGGAGAGCGGCTGCCAGTCCGAGTAGACAATACTGACCTCGACGGACCAAGGGTCTGATTCAATACAAGGCAGCATCATGTGTGTTCCTGTGTGATGGTCCTCTGTCACAGATGCTCCAGTGTGGTTTGAGCAGGATGTCGGACTAGATGGCCCATTCCCCAAATCTGTGCATCTGTGCTTTTCTTCACAAGCCCCATTGAGTTAAATGGTGGTTGCACAGATTAGTGGACTGCTACAAAGCCTACATTGATGCCTGATTAGGAGGATCAGAATTCCAGAAAGAGCGGCCCTGGTCTTGGAGGGCGGATGTACAGACAGCAAAGCAA